CATATTGGTTGACGAATACAACAATCCCCGACACGTAGCCGACACGATTCTTAATCGTCTCTTGCAACACCACACAAATAGTGACGATCCGAAATCACTGAAAGAGTTGTATATAACAACTATCGAGTCCCTGGCATCATTAAGGGGACTAGGAATCGATGTATCCAGCTGGGATACAATATTGATTGCTATCATCAAGCAAAAATTGGATATTGCTAATAGAGCCTTGTACGAACAGTCGTTGGATGGTTCTCGACAACTGCAAGGTCTCGACACAATACTTAACTTCCTCGACCAGAGAATTCGCGTACTGGGAACAGGAAAAAGAAGTCAACAAGCAAAAAGGGATCAGAAGGGACCAACATGCACTTCTGCCAGCGCTGGAAAATTACCAAGCTGTCCATTTTGCAAACGGAATCATTGGCTATACAAATGTGATGACTTCCGTAATAAACCAATACCCGAACGACTCAATTGGGTACAAAAACAACGAATGTGTGTCAACTGCTTCAGCAGCGACCACAAGGCAAAGGAATGCCGAGGCCGTTTGTGTTTTAAATGCGATAAAAAACACCATACACTGCTGCATCTTGAAACGTCATCAGGTGCAGCAACTGAACCACAATCACCTTCTGTAGGGGCAGCAAGTAACAAGAGTTACAATCTGCTGGCCACAGTCAAGGTATCAGTAAAAGCAAGCAATGGTCAGGTGGCCACTTTCAGAGCTCTGCTTGATTCAGGATCACAAATAAACTTGATCTCTGAACGAATGGCTTCAAAGCTATCATTAAGGCTCCACGGTACTTCATTACGTATCGAAGGTATTGGAGGCAATCCTAAGACTAGTCGAGCTAGAGTAAATGTGCAAATGAAATCAATGCATAACGACTTTACTCAGCAAGTCGAGGCTTTTGTGTTACCACACATTATAGCCGATCAACCGGCTCATCAGCTAGATCCAACAAATCTACCACTCCCTCAAAACATCGCTCTGGCAGATGCAAACTTTGATAAGCCAGGAAAGATTGACATGCTTATCGGAGCTGAGCACTACTATTCGTTACTACTGCCAAACCAGATGATGTTAAAACCAGGCGGCCCGGTCCTACAAAATACTAAACTTGGTTGGATTGTCGCCGGAAAAGTATCTGCAGAAAACAACCAAGCAGCAATTTGCGCGCCTGTAACCACAGAGGACCAAATCGACACGCTTTTGGAACGTTTCTGGACTTTGGAGAACCTAGAAACGGAAGCGAAACCAAAATCACCGATAGAGGCTCATTGCGAAAGACACTTTCTAGGAAATCTCCAATTCGCAGCAGATGGAAGGTTCATAGTAAAACTTCCTTTTTCTGAACAATCATCAGCCCTGGGGGCATCGCAGAAAACTGCAACTAACAGGTTCCTGGCACTAGAGCGCAGAACATCACCTGAAGTCTGGAAAGGTTACGTAGATTTTATGGACGAGTATGAAAGCCTTGGACACATGAAAGAAGTGCCTCCCACAAGGATACCTACGGATCACTATTTTATCCCGCACCACTGTGTGCTAAAACCTGAGAGCAGCACTACAAAACTTCGGGTAGTGTTCGATGCTTCCTGCAAGACCACCAGCAACAAGTCGTTAAATGATATTTTGTATGCTGGACCCACCGTACAGAGCGAACTGTTTGCAATTTTACTACGGTTCCGCACTCACAAGTACGTGTTCACAGCCGATATAGAGAAAATGTATCGCCAGGTATGGATACATCCTGATCATCAATTTTATCAATTAATCGTCTGGCGAAAGAATCCATCAGACGAACTCAAGTATTATCGACTTAAAACCGTAACATACGGTACAACATCAGCTCCATTCCTAGCTAAAAAATGCTTGGATTACTTGGCTGAGAAAACCAAAAAGAATTTACCGCTTGGAGCAGCCGTGGTCAAGCATGATTTTTATGTTGACGACTGTCTCACAGGAGCAAATAGCATCCCAGAAGCAGTTCAGATTCAACAAGAGCTAAACAAAATACTGCTACCAGCCGGATTCAAGCTCCGAAAGTGGTGCTCCAACAATGACGAAGTTCTTGCACAAATTCCAAAGGAAGACATAGTCAACCACGTCAAATTAGACGAAACCCTTCAACACTACAGTGTGAAAACATTGGGTTTGATCTGGGTACCAAATAAGGATCAGCTATGTGGGCGATCCCAAAAAAGTGAAGCGTCAACCATCACCAAACGAGTGGTGAGCTCAGAGGCATCACAAATTTTCGATCCACTAGGACTATTCGCTCCTGTTGTGGTAAAGGCTAAGATATTCATGCAAAGCCTGTGGGAGCTGAAGATGGGCTGGGACGACGAGCTTCCTCAACTGCTGCAAACTGAGTGGAAAAATTATCGTGCTGATCTACAAGCATTGAACAATTTGCAAATTCCACGGCACATCTTTGACGGAAAGGTGCCCATTAATCAGGAAATTCACACGTTTGTCGATGCGTCAGAGCGGGCATACGGAGCAGCAATCTATGTCCGAGCCACATATAAGAACAATCAAGTGTCTGTTCGGCTACTGTGCTCAAAGTCAAGAGTAGCGCCGACAGCAAAAGAGACGCTGCCTCGCCTGGAACTATGCGCCGCAGTATTGGGAGCAGAGCTAACCCACAGGGTGAGGAAGGATTTACGCATACCAAACGATAAGGTACCTGGATACTTATGGTCAGATTCGACTGTGGTGCTGTCCTGGATAAACGCATCAGCATCATCATATCACACGTTTGTGGCAAATCGAATCGCAAAAATCCAAGCTGTTTCAGACCAATCTCAGTGGCGTCACGTGTCATCAGCTAACAATCCAGCAGATGTACTATCAAGAGGAATTGCCGCCAGCAAGTTAGCAGAACACAATCTATGGCTATATGGACCTCTATTTCTACATGGCTCTCGCGACAAGTGGGCTCAGGTACCAACTACCACCCCCCAGCGATCTAGAACGCAGGCTCAATCACATAAGCTTGCCAACATGTCAAAATGAAATTGGCAGTGTACTCTACAAGTGCAACCACAGCAACTCCTTCAATAAGCTACAACGTATTGTAGCATATATGATGCGGTTCTGTAACAAGAAAAACAGATCACCCACAACTACATTGTGTGTCGGTGAGTTAACCAATGCAAGGACCATCATCCTGCGGACTATCCAGCAAATTGATTTTAGTGCTGAATACAAACAACTCCGGATCCACAAAACATTGGACAAAAAGAGCTCGATTGTCTCCCTATGTCCTATAATCGGAAACGACGGACTGATCAGAGTCGGAGGTAGATTAGAAGAATCTAGCCTTCCATATAGCGCGAAGCATCAAATTTTGCTTCCATACAACGATCCACTGGTGAAAATGCTACTGCGAGAGATGCATGAAGAGAACATGCATTGCGGGGCTCAAGCTCTAAGAGCCATTGCCAGGCAACAATATTGGATTCTCAATGATAAAACAATGGCAAGAAGCATAATTCACAGCTGTGTCAGATGTACAAAGGCACGGCCCAAGTTGATGCAACAAATCATGGGCAACCTACCAGCTGACCGAGTAACACAAGCTCGGCCATTCTTTAACTCTGGGGTTGACTACTGTGGACCGATTTGGATTCATCACAAACTACGTGGAAAAAGACCTGATAAGGCATACATTGCAGTCTTCTGCTGTTTTGCAAGAAAGGCAGTTCATCTGGAGTTAGTAAGTGACTTGACAACAGATGCATTTTTAGCTGCTCTTCGACGATTTTTGGGTCGACGCGGAAAATGTCAGACTATTCACTGTGACAACGCAACAAACTTTGTCGGTGCCAATAATCAATTGAAGGCCCTAGAGGGAGCTATATTCACCGACAAGGCTCAAGAACAGATTATTAACCATTGCAATAAAAAGCAAGTGGAGTTTAAGTTCATACCGCCCCGGGCACCATCGTTTGGCGGGCTTTGGGAAGCTGCGGTGAAATCTGCGAAGCGGCTGCTAGTATCAGTCACAGCCACGGCTTCATTAACATTTGAGGAGCTCAACACCGTAATCGTGGAAGTCGAAGCAATACTCAATTCCCGACCGCTGACACCGATGTCATCTGATCCAACAGATACATCAGCTCTGACTCCTGGCCATTTTTTGATTGGTGAACCGTTGACCGCCGCTCCCGATGCAAATCTAGCCTCACCAGGGAAAACTTTGGTGAAAAGATGGGAATTGGTGTCCAGATTAAAGCAAATGTTCTGGGACCAATGGTCTATGGAGTATCTACAAGAGCTTCAGATGCGCAACAAGTGGAAAACCGCATCACAAAACCTGAAGGAGGGACTACTTGTGCTAGTCAAGGAAGACAACGTGCCGGTGATGAGTTGGCCAATGGGACGAATAGTGAAGACATATCCCGGGAAGGACAACCATGTCCGAGTAGTAGATGTAAAGACTGCATCTGGGATCTTCAAACGGTCAGTAACTCGTCTCGCGCCACTGTTGAAAGAAGAAACCGCAGTCAAACGTCCACACAGTTCCGAAGATACAACGTCAAAGGATGAAATGCCAACACAGAGGAGGAAGCTGTCACCTTCAATCCTTCCAACCCTACTGGCAATGTTACTCATTCTGCCACTAGCGATGGGACAACAGACAAAGGTCACGCAGTTCACAAATCAGCCAGGTCTATTCTATGAAAGAATCGGGACCTCCAGAATGGCAATTTCAGATTGGACCATCATCGTATATTACGACTTGCAACCATATTGAAGTGACATGAGAGTATTGGATGCCGGGATAACTGAACTCAAACACAAGTGTTCAGAATTACAAAACGTCAATGCATGTAACTCTATATATGCACACTTTTAACACGTGCATGCCGAATTACAAGCCGGAAATGAGCTTATTAACCACTCACGGCAGCGAAGATCACCGCTAGATATAGTCGGTAATGTGGCGAACTCATTATTTGGCGTGCTGGATTCCAAATATGCTGAAGATATGTCCAAGGTCATAAACGATGTCAAATCAAACGAGGAAGTATTAATGATGTTACTGAAGAACCAAACATCAATCTTGGATTCCACTATAAATGTGGTAAGGAAAAGCAATTCAGCTACCAACGACCGCATACGAAACACAGAACGACAAATAGATGCTCTCACCAGAGAACGAGGAAAATATCAAGGCAACTATCTGCAACAAGCATTCATGATTCTGACAGCCCAGCTCACTCTACTGGCAAACGGAATGCAGCGAATGCAAAATGAGATAACCAACGTTCTTACCGACATTCGCCACCGAACAATTAGCCCCATGCTAGTTTCTCCCCAACAATTAAGGGATCAACTTCATCAGATTAGGGAGCACATCCCACCGGATCAACAGCTGCCAGTCTCTTCAAATGCATGGAAGGCAGGAAGCTGGCATGAATTCAAGCTCAAAACAAGGATCATAACTGTCAATGCCCATAGAGATCAATTCATGGGACTAACTACTGACGAGTTTGATCAATGTCTACAATTGCCAAAGGATGAACACATATGCGTCAATCATCAAGCTACGTTTAGCGCAGATAATCGATGTGAATTTCAGTTGTTCAATAACAAGACTGAAACGGAATGTGAGACTGCTAAATCGAAGTCCGATTTAATATGGTCAGCAACACATCAACGAAACAGATGGATGTTTGCAACCCACAGTCCGATCGAACTGCAGGCTGTATGCAAGGGAGTTCCCTCCACAGTACAAATGGAAGGAACAGGCTTACTATCACTCGCCGCAGGTTGCACGGCACGCAACTCAAAAATCAGTGTTAGTACATTTAGCACAAGCCGCAGCATAGTACACCATCATCAAGTAGCCGCCTATGTGGCACTATCAATATCAATACTACTGATCGTGACCCTGAGTCTACGATATCGCCGAGTCAATTGGAGAACACCACAACGCAGCCCCAATCCCCGGACAACAAGTGAACCGCCAGCACCCGAACCTACCCCACGGAGTTTTTCGTTCGACATTACTGAAGGTTGAACACCCGTTCAACGGCCGGGAGAATGTTCAGTCGCTGCAATATATATATAATTCATAATCATAACATTACATAATCTGTAATTCGTCAGTCGCAGCACTCTCATATGCAGCCAAAATAAAGTATAGATTACCAGGTCAAGCGCATATGTAGATTCTGCTGACGCGATGAAGTGGGATGGAGCAATAGCCTCATTCTGCATATACCATTACAACCTACATTATTCTTGCACATCAACATTTGTAACCAGAAGCATATTCGTTTCCGCATGCACTAGCAACCTACATTATTCTTTATCATTAATATTCGTAAATACAAGCACATTTGTTAGCTATAAATATCGTTAAGTTTGAATCAATAAAGTCAGTAATCATCTGCAATTCAAAGAGATCTTTACTCCTCCAACTGCAGTCCACCTAGTTCAAGTGCTGGGTGCGACACAAACAAGGCAATTAGTTTATGTGCTATTTTGCCAGGCATCAAAGCCTACTCACACTATCAAACACTCATATAAACAAGTGGATTCAGGCATTATTAGCTGCGTTGTGAACTTTTTGTTTTCAAATTTACAATTGAGTATGCAAATGTATTAGCCGTGTAAAAACTATTATAAATACACATTCTGAAGTGGATACAGACATTATTAGCTGAGTTATGAACTTTTTGTTTACAATTTACAATTGAGTATGCAAATGTATAAGCCGTGTAAAAACTAATATAAGTACAAATTCTGCCGTGGATACATGCATTATTAGCTGAGTTGTGAACTTTTTGTTTACAAATTTACAATAGAGTATGCAAATGTATTAGCCTTCTAAAAACTAATAAAATATACATATTCTGCCGTGGATACATGCATTATAAGCGGAGTTGTGAACTTTTTGTTTACAAATTTACAATTGAGTATGCAAATGTATTAGACGTGTAAAAACTAATATAAATATAAATTCTAAAGTGGATATATGCATTATTATCTGAGCTGTGAACTTTTTGTTTACAAATTTACAATTGAGTATTAAATTATTAGCCGTGTAAAAACTATTAAAAATACTAATTCTGAAGTGGATACAGACATTATTAGCTGAGTATGCAAATGTATTAGACGTGTAAAAACTAATATAAATATAAATTCTGAAGTGGATTCAGGCATTATTAGCTGAGTTGTGAACTTTTTGTTTACAAATTTACAATTGAGTATGCAAATGTATTCGCCTTCTAAAAACTAATATAAGTACAAATTCTGCCGTGGATACATGCATTATTAGCTGAGATGTGAACTTTTGTTTACAAATTTACAATTGAGTATGCAAATGTATTAGCCGTGTAAAAACTAATATAAATATAAATTCTGAAGTGGATTCAGGCATTATTAGCTGAGTTGTGAACTTTTTGTTTACAAATTTACAATTGAGTATGCAAATGTATTAGCCTTCTAAAAACTAATATAAGTACAAATTCTGCCGTGGATACATACATTATTAGCGGAGTTTTGAACTTTTTGTTTACAAATTTACAATTGAGTATGCAAATGTATAAGACGTGTAAAAACTAATCTATATATATAAAAATGGAGACAAAAAATGTTAGGGATCAAATCACAAGAGAACGGCTGGGCCGATTTGGCTCAATTTTTTTTCAGTTTTTTGTAATTGCCAGAAGAAGGTAAGCATAAGAAAATTTTGGAAAGTCCTTCCGGAAAGGTCGCTAGCGGCTCAAAAGATGGACACACTGTTGTATGTAAAATTCTGAAACACCCTACAAAGATCATAGCTGCGTTGAAATTGTGTATCAATGAACTCGGTAAAAAAATATTTAAACAAAAAAATCGAGCTAACGAAGCATTACCAAAGTGAGCTTAAACAATTGGAAGTAATGCCTGCTGTTAGACGATCAAATCTTGGGCGGCGTTCTCGCAATGCAATAAATAATCAGAATTTCCGTAATAGTCGGACGCAAGAGGAACGTACAGAAATAAATGCATCGATACGTGCCCAAATGGCACAGCTTCGCGCTGCACAAAGACCACCTCAAGCCCGACAAAATAATAGAGGAAGACGAGCCGCAAATGAAAACTTGAATCGCGCTGCATTCGCATACAATCCTGAAACATCCTACAAGGATCTTACGTGCGTTGTTATTGGTTCATTATCTGTTGTATGTCAGCATTGTAATGCATTGAAGTTTCGGTTGGAAACCCCCGGCTTATGCTGTGCAGGTGGCAAAATTAAATTGCCCGTTTTGGCTCATCCACCAGAGCCTTTGTACTCGCTACTATATGGAAACTCAGCCCAATCAAACAGTTTCCTGAAGCTTGCACAAAAATATAGCGGATGCTTTCAAAGGACGTCTTTTGGAGCCGAGGTTGTTCAACAATCAGGCTACAATTCAAGTTATAAGGTAATGGCGTCTCTTTATTATCATATTTTTTCAAAATTGCATCCCAACATTCAGATTCAAGGGCAAATTCGCCACCGAGCGGGCGCTTTGTTACCACCACAAAACAAAGATCATAAATTCCTTCAGATCTATTTCATTGGTGATTCGGAAGTTGAACTAAATCACCGCTGTGCAATTTTTACTGCAACTAAACGTGAAATTATTCAACAATTGCAAAACCTTCTCCATGAGCATAATAAATTGGTCAGATTGTTTAAAACCGCATTGGATATAATGCATTATGACGAACATAAAATCAGTAACAGCGCTGACAAAAGACCCACTGGTAGCCATGCAAGACAATTTAATGCTCCCACTATCAATGAAGTCGCAGTGGTGATTGTTGGCGAGAATGTTGAATCACGCGATATTGTTCTTAAGCGTCGGGATAATGGCCAATTGCAGCGAGTTTATGAGACTCATCGGTCTTATGATGCTCTTCAATACCCGTTGATGTTCTGTCGTGGAGAAGATGGTTATCACTTCAACATAAAGATGGTCAATCCAACGACAGGTTTGTTTAAAAGTCATCACGTCTTTTTAATTCTACAACTGAGTTTGAATTCAAATTTTAGGAGAAGAAACGAATAAGAAGGTTAGCTGTATGAATTTTTATGCGTATCGATTGATGATTCGACTTGATGTTGACAATCATCTGTTAAGATACCGCCGTTTGTTTCAACAGTACTGTGTCGACATGTACGTCAAAGTAGAAACGGAACGTCTCAATTTCATTCGTTTTAATCAGTCGAAGTTGCGCTCAGACGAGTACATCCACTTGCGTGACGCCATCGCTACTGAAGGACACGCGGCCAACATCGGTTTTTTTACCATTCTCCCAGCTACTTATGTTGGAAGCCCGCGCCATATGCATGAGTATGCTCAAGATGCGATGACGTATGTCCGGAATTACGGACGCCCGGAGTTATTCATCACCTTCACATGCAATCCGAAATGGCCCGAAATTACCAATTTGTTGCTTTCAGGACAAACATCCAGCGATCGACCTGACATCACTGCACGAGTAAATACAAGGACCAAATGGTGGACGATATATTGAACAGAGAACGCAGGACAACTTCTAATTTCACTCTTGGCATTAACGTAGATATGTACAACGAAGCATTAATACGGATCGAAGACATGTGCATGCTCATGTGCGGCAGTCTACTATCGACATTGGGAATGCCAGCGCCAAATCGTTCAGTTCACGATACTTTCAATCGAGAATTTCAACGGGAGCAACACTACAATCAGGATGACCTGGCCCAAAGAGTTCAAACAAATGTCGCGTTTTTGAATGCCGAGCAAAAGAAAGTGTACGATTCAATAATGAAGGTTGTTGACGATGAAACGGGAGGCCTATATTTTATCGATGCTCCTGGTGGGACCGGAAAGTCATTCGTCATTTCGTTAATTCTTGCAACGATTCGATCTAGATGTCAAATAGCGTTGGCTGTTGCATCATCTGGCATTGCTGCTACATTGTTGGAAGGCGGTCGAACAGCACATTCCGCTTTAAAGATTCCCATGAATCTTCTGACGGTTGACCAGCCAACGTGCACGATCAGCAAGAATTCAGCCTCAGCAAAATTGATGCGAGAATGCAAAATCTCATCATTTGGGATGAATGCACGATGGCGCATAAACGAGCTTTGGAGGCAGTTGACCGAACGATGAAGGATTTACGAGGTGATTCGAAACTATTTGGTGGGGCTTTAATATTGCTGTCCGGAGATTTTCGTCAAACGCTTCCCGTCATTCCGAAATCTACGGCTTCCGATGAACTAAATGCATGCCTAAAATCGACCTCTTTGTGGCGATATGTCAAGAAGTTTAAATTGACCACGAACATGAGAGTCGCATCGCAGAATGACCCATCCGCTGCTGAATTCTCGAGACAACTGCTGGCGCTCGGCAATGGTGAAATTCCTGTTGATGTTTCGACTGGACTAATATCGTTCCCAGCAAATTTTTGCGAGTTCACATCATCAAAAGAGGAACTCATCACAAAGGTGTTTCCCGACATAGCACAAAATTATACAAATCTCGATTGGATTAGTGAACGGGCAATACTAGCCGCGAAGAATAAGGACGTAGATAGTTTGAATTTCCTTATTCAAAGTGAAATCGCTGGAGAACTGCATTCATACAGATCCGTTGACAGCGTGACCGACAAGGATGAAGCGACCAACTATCCGACAGAATTTTTGAACTCACTGGATGTGCCAGGAACTCCGCCGCATAATTTGCAACTAATGGTGGGATCGATTATTATAATGCTGCGGAATCTAAATCATCCAAGATTATGCAACGGTACTCGGTTGTCCGTTAAGAAACTAATGAACAACTTGATTCAAGCGACTATCATAAAGGGAAAATTTAAAGGAGAGGAAGTTCTTATCCCACGAATTCCGATTATTCCAACAGATCTTCCATTCCAATTCAAGAGGATTCAGTTTTCAGTTCGATTGGTTTGTTTAAAAGTCATCACTTCTTTTTGATTATCAACTAATTTTGAATTCAAATTTTAGGAGAAGATAGGAATAAGGTATTATTATTACCT